GATTTGTCATTATTACTCTTATTTGGAAGAAATGGGAAAAAAGAGGAAACATTTTAAATTTTGCTAACAATTCTAAAATATTTCGATCAATTCGATGCATTAATAAACAAGAATATAACTATACAGTTTCTTATATTATATATACATATAATATAAGAAATATATGATATTAAAGGGAAAAAAAAGTATTATTAATTTAATAAATGTTGAAAATAACAGATATTAACAAGATTTGTCTTTATTTTAAATTTTCCGAACAAATCTGAAATATTGTGATCAATTCCCAGCATTAAAAATAAGTTCTATACTATAAAATTTATTAAATAGTGAAAATTTGAAGAATTGGGGTTAAATAAGAAAAAAAGGAATTATTTTAAAGTATTTTTAAATATTCTGATCAATTTAGACAATGAATTAACAAGAACAACAAAAAGAAATGGTTTCAAAAACGTTTGACGCACGAATTTCGAGTTGCAAATGTCTGTTTTGTATCAGGAGAGAAGAAAATAGAAGGAGCTCACTTTTCAAGGAGATCCTGATACCGATAGTGCTGCTATCTGTTGGCAGAACGTGGGAACTACTATTTTTATTTGAATTTCTAGCGAGAAACTCGTCGATTTCTATTAGGATACTAGGAAGTCGGAGGAGCTCACTTTTCGAACGACCAGGAGTTCTGATAGTGCTGTTATCTAGCGGCAGCTCTTTCAACTACGATTTGTCTTCTTGGATAGTGCTGGCCTCTTATGGCAGATTTCATAACTACGTTCGAGTTTCGTCTTCACTACGGTGGTTCTCTGGATAGTGCTGCTATCTTTCAACAGCTTTTTTAACTAAACGTCGTTTTCGTCTTTCCTGGATAGTGCTGGCCTCTTTTAGCCGATTTTGGAACTATTATTTCATTTTAGAAGTATATTGGATGGTGCTGCTCTCTTTTAATGCGTTTTAAAACTATTATCCAAAGGTTTCGTTCGATATTGCTGCTACCTTCATATAGTTATAAAAAATATTGTTCAAAATTCGTTTAAACTTATAAATGATATTTAAATTGTTGTTTTCTCCTTATTCTATTGTTTAAATGTTTATTAACTTAATTCTTAATGTGGCAGGCCTCCACAACTTTCAATAATATGCTAATAAGTTAAAATCGCATGTAATAAATTCTATGAAATATTTTCTTTCTGAAGTATATTTTCTTAACTGTTATCTAGCTTAAGTTAGTGACTGATTCTTTCATGTCTTAAGCAATACATTATTTCATAATGTGTTTTATTTTTTATTAGGAATTACAGAATTCAGTTCAATTATTTATCGACTGTTTCTCAAAAGTGCATTTAGGTATTTAGTGAGTGAAGTGAAGTTTTGAATAAATCTAGAAGTATCAACACTGCACTTTGTTTATAAATACTGATATATAATATTTGTGTTTTGCTTTTTTAAGTATATGGTAAACCACAATAGACGAAATTAAATAAATATATTTCTCTAAAGTGTATGGAGCGAGTGAAGTGGAGTTTTGAATACATCTAGTGAAATTGACAGTGAACTGTATTTATAAATATTATGGATATGTAGTAATTTTGTGATGTATTTTTATGTATATATGGTAAAACATAATAGAAGAATACAAATAAATATATTTCTGTGAAGAGTTGTTTTTAGTTTACCCTATTCTTTCTTTACAATTAAACACTGATGATAATTTCTGTGTGTATTATGAACTACATATTTATATGTTCTAAAAGTATATCTAATTCAAAGTAAAACTGTTTACTACATTTTTTTTTCTAATCTTGAAGGTAAGTTCCTACAATTTTCTATCTATTAAATTATTCCTGTTCATAAGGAATAATTCATTCTCAGTTTTCGCAATTTAGTTCTTTTAAATGTTGACACTGGCTTTCATTTAAGCTCTTTTGATAGTTGAAATTTTAACATTTTAAAAATATTTTCTGAAAATTATCTTGTTCTGATTGTTAATACTGTAGAACAATTTTATTATAATTGATTGACTGTGGTTTATATCATGGAACAAATTATCAGGATTTAATCATTATTTCATTACGAAATACAACTTTTGGGTGTTTATGAAGGATGAAATTAAATCAGATATACAATAAATCTATAAATGTATATAGTATAGACAGAAATAAATTACAAAAACATAATCAAAACAAGTAAATTAAGGATAAATGGAGTAATAAGAATATAAATAATAATAGAGATACATATTATTTTACTTTATTTATATCCTCTTAATTTATTGTTATTTACTTCTATTTGAATCATTCAAACATACATCATCATCGTTTTTCTTTTTGAATCAAAGAAAAGCAAAGCAGAAAAACAAACTACGAATTTCAATTTTTTTTTTATTTTGGGAAATTTGGGTTATAATATATAAAATTTTTACACAAGTTTATTTGTTATATATTTTACAAAATTACAAAAAACATTGAAGAGAATTAAAAATAACCATTTATATTACACTAAATTTTTCTCACTTATAATATCTCTCACTTTATTTACTAAATAAAGAATACAAGTACATAACTTAAGTTCATATATACAAAAACAAAATAATGAATTATAGGTATGGAATGTATTGCACTGTTAAGTCAATGTTAAGTTTATTTTATTCATTTATTGATATTTACAACTGTATTATAAAAAAAAATACAACTAGTAAATGTGCACACAGTAATAATACAACCACATGAAAACGTAATATATTTACATAAGTAGATCATAATAATAATATATTTACATAAGTAGATCACGAGGCTATCTTCTTTTCAGAAACCTCGGAGGGGTTAAGTTTATAAAACTAATACTTTTCAATTTACATACTAGATCTTCTACAATAGCAAAACTGATAAATTAATTTATATTTCTTTAAGATATAACGAAATTCATGTTTCTTCTTTATTGTATATTGATCTTCTGTGTTTGTTGAACAAAAGAAAAAAAAAAATACTTGCTAGTTGGTTACAATATTCCTGCTTATGATAAAACGTTCCTTTATCATCCAACATACACAATCCATCAGAGAGATCTTGAACATTAAGAAAGTTGAGTTGTTCAACAGTGGACATTCTACTTAAAAATTTCAAATAACTAGAAAATTAATCTTTAAAATATAAAGAAAACTATGGATAACTAACTTTATGTTTTTATTTGGAACAATAAAATGAAAAATTGTAATACAAAAATTATAATTATAACAATTTATTGAATGAAAATTCTATTTATTCATAATTATTTCATATGTGTTTATTTCCCACTCCATAAATATTATATGAAGTGTAAAATAAATGTAAAAAAAAGATGAAATAATGAAAAGAACAACATTACTATTCTTGCTTTGATGTCTCAGATCATTGTGTATGCCGGTGTTACATCTTAAGGTTTATTGTATATAATATATATTCACTAAGTAAATGATACCAGGCATAAGTTAATAGTTTGATAAAAATGGTAGTACTACAGACTATATCATATATTATGATAAAATAATTTCAATTATTCATGAAACTAGTACATAATCTTGAAAAATATAATGAAAATATAAATATAAACACAAAATAGATCTTTTAATAAAAGTATTAAGAGAAGTAAATATAAGATTTGCTAATTTTAAGTTTTGGGGTAGATAAGTCCTTTTATTTTTCTACTCTTGTATTAAACACCCTTAAATGTTTCATTGAAAAAGGATTGTTTTACTTATCGTTAAGTATACATACTTATCTACCTAACCATATTGATTCAAATTGATGTAATACTTATTAAAATATTCTTTATTTATTTTTTAATAATTAAAACTATTAAATAATATGAATAATTGCAATACCAATAATTAAATATATAATAATGATTAAATGGTTACAGGAATTAAATGACAAGAATAATTACAATAATGAATTAAATAATTGAGAAGGAAAGTTCTTGTTCAGCATGGAGAGTTTTTGGCTGGACTTCAAATCATTACTCTGATGGTTGGATTGAAACGTAGGCAAAAATAAACACTTTTTACTACTGCACAACCTGACCATTTTTCATTTACAATTTACAATTTCAACAATCAATTACATATCCATCTCTAAAATACAAAAAATAAATAACATCTATAGTTTCTATAATGATTACAAGAATTAAATGACAAGAAAAATTACAATAATTAAATGTGATTTAAAATTACAACTATACTGTATGAAAAATTTTAATGGCTCTCATTAAATGAATTTGTCTTTTTATTCTGCCTTCATTATTTCAAGTTAGCCATATTAGAAAGTATACAGTCTCATTCTGGTGTCGGAGGTGTGTTGCTTGTTTATCTGAGTGAAGGTTCCAGACCTCCAATTAAATATACGTAGATGAAGACTGCATGACCCTAATTTGGAGTCTTGAAAACATTAATTTTTCTGATGTGGATCCAACTGAAGAAAATCTCCATGGCAGAATATCTTGTTTCATTTGTTATTTGTTTGTCAATGATCTCATTTGCATTTATGCCATTTTTTCCCGAAGACATCTCCTATCAGCAGGGTAGTTCATTTCTAACCATTTTCTTCAAGAAGGTGGTAGAAACCAGCTAAATACCTAAAATTAGATAAATTTTTAAAAATTATAAATTCTTTGTAAATAAATACATATATGTTGCATATTCTAAATCTGATATTTTGTGTGTTTTAGAGGAGTGTAAATTATTTCATATTTTCTGTTGCAATTTAATTGTCTAAATCATATTTTTTTTAAAAGAACAGATGTTTTTATTAGTTATGATGTAAACAAGTTTTTGGGTGATTAAATAAATGAATTAAAACATTTATTTTGAATTATATTTTAAAAATATCATAATATAAATACTTTGTTATTGTATAAAAAAGGTGTTTTTAAAATGTATGAAACATTTTAATTTAAATATTATTTTGTAAATAATTAATACAATTATAACTGAAAATTGTCAATTCATTAATTATGATTTATTTGAAAAGGAGTTGGCTGGGAGAGTATGGTCAAATTAAATACTATAAATTATAATAGTATTTTACTGAATATGCATATACAATATCGTTTAATTTGATAACACATTTTTATTTATGATTTAATGTAAACATTCCAGTAATAGACAATATTCAACTCATAAACCGATAACAAGCTTTATATACCAAAAAGATAGTGCAAATATGAGTATATTTGGAACTAGGAGGATGATGCCAGAACTTTAAGTGATACCATGGTACAATATCTGATTGGCAGTTGATTTCTGAATAATATAAGGTGGAGGTTTGATTGAAGGAGGATTTCTTATTACTATTCTTAGGAGATAAGTTAGAAATTTTTATTTATTATTATGTGGTTTGATATTTCTTAGTTTCACTTTGTGGAGGATATATTTTATTTTTTTTTTTTAATTGGACTTCAAGAATCAATTAAACATCATTTCATGTAGATAGTTTCTTTCCTTTTCTTCCAAAGCAATTATTGTTCCACTGCTGCCTAAAAGAAACATCCCATTTACACATTTATGTTTTCCAAAGTTTGTAAAATGTGTAAACAGAGCTTAACATTTATGATATTAAGGCTATAAATTACAGCGTTTAATGATTTAATGATTGGGGTGATTGCTGCCTTTGAAATTAAAAAAAAAAATAACTGCCACTTGTGATTGTTGCATGTAATTGTTTAAAGATGAAAAAAGCTACCATTTGATCAGTTTTGTGAGGACTTGTATTTACATGAGAAAAAGTATGGGCTTCTGTGATAATTAAGATTTAAAAATCAAACAAATATTGATAAAAAATAAATTATAAGAAAACTTTGATAAGCGTTCTCCGTTAACTGGAAGGCTGACTGTTGGTTATAGATAACAGCTGTAGTATGGTCTTTCATAACCGAGTCAGAGGTTATTTGAAGGTAAATTATTATTATCATTTTCTTTAAATCTCCTACATTTTCGATGGAATTCTTTTTATGTGGTTTGTGAATCATCTGTATAAATATTGTCACTTGACTCAATTTTTTGTGAATTCACAATTATTGAGCTTAATTCTTTAATGTAAGCCAGGATTTCATCTTTGTGTTCTATGACATGCCTATTGATTTGTACCGATTTGTTACTAGTTGAAGAAGTATTTGTTGTATTTTTGTTTGAAGTGTAAAGCATTTTGTATTTTTTATAACTTGGTTTAGATTCGACATTTGAGATCTTAATATTGCAATCAGAATCTTCTATAAAAGTACCACTTGAACTGTCCGAATCGTCTTGTTTATTTGATGGCATTGTCTCAAATATGTCATTTTCTCTAAGGAAGACAACTTTCTTGCTGGTGAGGTCCTTCATCATTTCTTCTTCGGTTTTTTCATTAATTATCCTCTCTTTCGTGTAGGTCATATCCATAACTGTGTATTCATAATCTTCTGAAGGAAAATCAATAATTTCAGTTTGCGTTTCTTTTGTATTTTTGTTTGATATTACATTCGTTGTTGCATGACGCATAGATACCTCATACTGAAATCTATGTTCAGAAGGAATTTTTTCTTCAATGGAAGCCCTGCGTGAACTTTTTTTAGTGTTTGCAAGCCAAGAGCTTCTTATTTTATTTTCAACTTCATGAAAACATTTGGGAATAGGGATCGGTCCTGAGAGCTCTGGATCGAATTGAATACCGACATTATCAGTTTTTATGCAGGCTAATACTGTCTTATCAGAAGTTTTACATGATTTTTTTTCCCTTTTTCTTGTTACCTTTTCTATTTTTCTCAGAAAACTTGATTCCTGAGCCAAATTTTTCATTTTGGGATTAAGTATGTTTTTATTATTTATAAACTTCGTTCTATTGATCTTCTTAAAAGGTAATTTAGATGTAAGCCGTATATTATTCCTATTTAGCCAAGGGCAGATGTTCATTTGGTATGGCATTACACCATTTTCAAGATTGTTTTCATGATATTTCATTACGATGTCATCAATATAAACAACATCGGTAACAATTTTCTTCAGACTTTCTTCAGCTTGTGCACCTTTGACACATTGATCTATTACGCAATCGTAAGTATTCTCTATTAAGTTATGAGCATATTTTCTATACTCTTTCGGCAAGTGGCCTAGCCTGTTCCTGATTTTGTATAACTTAGCCTGCATTTGTGCTAATACATAAATTGGTTCAAATACAATTGGATTCATTTCGCCTACATATACCATACCTTCTTCAAGCAGCGTTAAATTTTTTAACAGACATTTTAGACGAAGCATGTATTGGTTCATGCTAGCTTCTTCTTGGTGTAGCTTTGAGTAGTAGTTTGTAAATATGCTTTTCAAAGAAGACTCATGCTTTTTATCTTCTTTTGTTGTTTTATAACCTCTTAAGATTAACTCTTGTGTTAATGTTTGATTATTATTTCGTTTAATGCTCATTCTTAGTAATTTTTTTAATTAATTAGTTTTTGTTTGTTAAATGATTATCACAATTATAATTTTTTCATAAAATAATAATAAGAATAGATTATAATTAATTAAATTTTTACATTGTAATAGTTTAAATAATTATTTTAAAATATTTAGAACAATCATATGTTATAATATTATCATATAATCTAGCTATTAAAAAAAAAAAAGCCTAGTTGCCTTCCATCACCGTTGTAAAAATATATTATACATTGATCCTCTTTGTTATATTCATTTCAGCAACTTCCCTATTTAAAACTATGATTTTTCCTTTATTGTTATTCTTAAACCCAATTGCAATGTCTTTTCAAAGATTGTCATTTGGAAGAATAGTACATTATTAAGCTAATTAAATTAAATTCCTTTAAAAATAAAACATCAGAAAGAACTTCTTTATTTTAACTAATCTCTTGATATTTTGGCCAATATTAGTATAAAAAAACTAAGGTGTGTGCTTTATACCACACGGTAATAGTGAAAACATCAACGAGGCGAGATTAATAATATGAGGTATTAATTATAAATAATAGCTCATTATAAAGAGGATGAAATGCTGAACATTTCCCTCATTTCTAGTATGCAGTCCGATTTAACAAGTTTTCACTTCAAAAATAAAAACAGAACCTTTTAAGCATTTTTAAAACCTTTTAAGTGGCGACTGATGATTACTCCAATCCAACAGATCTGTACCTTAACAAATGGAAGGTCAAAAGAGCATGAGTGGATTTTTTGGAGTCAAGCGAAATTCTTTCAATCCTAAACTCCATCATGCCACAAAAAATCCAATCTCCATTCTTACTCACTGTGAGTATGGAAAACTGATGAAGTGAAGCGGTGAACTACACAATTTTTAGGCTATGCTATCTATATATTAATTCTATTCTCAAAAGTATTTTTTCATGGTATGATGGAGTTTAGTACTGAAAGAATTTTGCTTCCACAAAAACTGATGAAGACTTGTGCTACATAATTTATCATAAAATATCAGAAATATTGAAGAGAGACTTTTAAAACAGAATTTTTTAATTTAAGAATATTTTTTATGTTTAAGATTTTAAAATTATTTAAATATATATATATATATATATATATATATATATATATATATATATATATATATATATATATATATATATTATTTTTTTACAGATATGATATCCAAAAATTCGAGAGATGTGATTAAATTATATAAAGATATAATTACATATGGAAAAACTTTGAAACTAACTGATCAAAAATATTTTTTGAAACGTGTTAGATCCGAATTCAGAAAGAACTCTAATCTGACCTCTGAAGAAGAAATTGAATTTCATACCAACGTGAGTACAAATTTTTTATTTTATAGACTAATAGTAAGTTTAATGTTAATTGGAGGTACAAAAATACTACCACCTTGTATAGACAAAAGTAAACCTTAAATATAAATTTATATATATATCATTTTATATAATAAATGATATTCATTTGACATTATTCCCAACTTTAATCTAAAAATCTAGTGATGAATCCCATCACAAAACTTTCCTTTACCATCCTAATTACAATAGAATTTTTTTTTAAGTTAATAAATCTTGAGTCTAATATGCTCCACTATATTTATATAATTTTTAAATAAACTAAAGAGTCTTTAGTCAATTTGCTCTTTATCATGTATTAACATTTAAAATTATTGAATTATTCTAAGTCACATTGAACTATCTTGTTATAGAGAGGTAAAGAGTTGTTGAAACAGAAAAGAGTAGTATGATAACATTAGTGAGAACAATTTCGACTAGATCCGTGCTATACGTTAAGGAAACAGTAGACAGAAGTAGAGTGCCAACTATAAACGATGAAGACTTGGAGGAAATGTTCGTTAAGGGCCACGGGCCGGGTGGTTCAGCTGTAAACACCACTTCTAATTGTGTTGTCCTCAAGCATATACCAACCGGTAAGTTAAATTTTCCCATTACGAACATTTTAAATATTTATATTTTATTTGATTTTCTTTTTTTAAATCATAAGTATTTTCTATTTTTATTAGTTTTTATATTATATATTTTTGCTTTTTTATTTTTTATTTTTATTTAAGAAGAGAAAAGAATTTATTAATGGTTCGCAAGTTAGTTGGAAATTGCAGTCACAGAGATAAAAAAAAATATATATATATTCTATTTTATTTTGTGCCAACCTTTTAGGTTTTCATAAGGACTGAGGAATGACAAGATAATTACCAAAAAAATATTAACGAACTGTTTTAAGAAGACATGAAAACAAAATGTATTTTATCTGCTAATAAATAAATTCTAAGTGAATAAAAAATTATGTGGTGTAAGATAAATTAACATATTCAAGTATTGTAGATAATGGTAAAATATAATGATTAGTAAAGGTAGGAGATGGTCCGGGGTGGCGATCATAAATAGGCTAAATAGTGGTAAAACTATTTTATTGAAAGGCTTTCAATAAAATAGTAAGTTTACGGCTTTCAATAAAATAGTTTTACTACTGTTTAGCCTATTTATGACCGCCACCCCAGACCATCTCCTTCCTTTATAATGCAACGGTCAACTATTAAATATTCAATAATGATTAGTAGTATATATATATATTTTTTTTTTAAAGTTTAATATAAAGGGGCAATAGAATGTGATATAATATGAAAAACAAACAATCAATAAATTATACTTGTATATTGCTAAAAGTCTCTTAAGTACATTTTTTATTTAGGTTAATTAGCTATTAAATAAATTCACAAGTATGTTTTTATGAATTTAGACCTTCTTTATCTATATAAAAACACAATAATTGCATAATGTTATTGTTTGGGGCATCACCCCTTCCCTAATCCCGTAGTAGGGAGAATCAAACCTGGATGCTAAATAATTGATCAGAAGGGGGTGTTCATGTGATTTAAATGTAATGACAAAAATAAGGTTAACATAATTTATATGTATTGATGAATAAAAAAATGGATTTGAAATATATATAGTTATTGATTAAGGGAATTAATAAAAATATACATTCGGATATTTATAAATATATATTGTGTTGGTGACTATTTATTATTAATGCGCTGACCGAGTAAATGTAGATTCTGACTGGTTGAACGGTGTTGTTGAATACTCTCATCGAGGGACTGGCTTCTGTGGCGAATTAGTGTGTTCTGGCATCTTTGAGTGTTGTGCTACGTGCGGCCATCCATATTGCCTCTTCGGACCACTTCTTTCTGTTGGTCTAGCTAGACATCTTGAACATGCATGGTCAGGTCATGGAGACCATTTTGTGGGATCTCTCAGACATTGACTGGCCCTTCTGGTCTCAGGTTACCAGGCAGGGCTAGTTGCTCATCTTCACCAATAGATTGCGCTGTTGTAATGACCAATAGATGGCACTACTGTTGTGCACTTATAATTAAGGCTAATAGTGAATGGCCCTAACAGTTATGGTTTCACAGATAAAGACTTCATTAAAGTACTTATTTATTTAAGGTTATTTATTGTTACTTAATGAAGTTTTGCAATAAAACCACAAAATTTAACTAGTGAAGAATAATAAATACACTAATATAATTTATTAATTTTTTTTCCCTTACTACACTATTCATTACCAGGGGTCTCGCTAAGTTTTTGGTCCTCAGGCCACATTGAGGAGACCTTGACTAAGTTCCGCTTGCCGCATTGATGCTCCCGCATAAGGCATAGCTTGTGATAAAAAAAAAAAAGCTTGTTCAATAAATGTAGTAACCTCGTGTGTGAATAATTTGCTAAATTTCATATTTTTAAATTTTTTCCATCTAACCAAAGAATGTTTTGCAGACCGTAGTTTGGAATACCTCTGTTCTATATTAACATTTTAAAATTTTTTTTTTATATTTTACTTATATTGAAATTCAATGATTGACGTGACTTGATACCTATTAGTCATGTAACGCTTGTAAACTAGTAGTAATCAATAAACTTTTCACACATATGGTACTAATAACAATGATAACATGGAGTATATGTGTGTCGTCCTTATTATAACACTTCAACTTGTTTATACTGTTTTAGATTTAGGAAATGTTGCCTAGACTAACTCTACTTAACTGTTAATTTCAGACTATTTAGTACAGAGATAAAAGGTTAGCTAAGGAGTAAAATAATCTCGAAACTATTTAATTTCAAGATTAAATGCAAACAGCATTTCTCAGGCCTGTATTTATGAACATTTATAAGGAAGATTCTCTTTATAATACCTTACAATAAGTGTTAAATTTATTAAATTACACACATTTAGTTTCTTTTAACTAAATTGTTTTTTCTTGACCTTTATAGAATTTGCTTTAATTTACATTTTATTATCGTTTCTGTTCCAGGAATAGTCATTAAGTGCCACAGTTCTAGATGGCTAGACGTCAATAGGAAAACTGCCCGAGAATTACTCATAACAAAACTGGACAACATGATCAATGGTAGCATGAGCGTAGAGAACCAAATGAAGTCGTTAGAGGAAAAGAAGCACTCCAGTAGCGAAAGGAAAAAGAGAAAATTGAGAGAACTCAAGGAAAAATGGAAGGAGAGGGAGAAATTGAAATAAAAAATCTAGTCAGAGTATTTTGTATAAATAAATTTTTTTATTCAAAACTTTCCTTTTATTATGTATATATTTTTTTCCAATTTTAAATTATTTTTTTTAATATGGTGTTGTTTAAGTAATTGTTTTTTTATATATATAATAATAATAATAATAATCTATCAGCGTCTGTCAGTGACTAACAAACAACCTGAAACATGTTTAATATTTTTTTTATAAAAAAAAAAAAGAGGCGGATTTTAATACAGATTTCTTACTGCCATAATTAAAAGTATTATTTCATTTCCTACCAATATTCTGTTAGAAACTACAGTAAGCAATAAATAAAATTATATAAAAAGAACCTGTATCGAACACAAATAAGATAATAATAAATATACAATCTATTGTTTTTACTAATGAATAGAAACACAAAATTAATGAACCTTAAGTACTATCTTAAAATATACATGAGGAGCATACACCTATCTCTACAAGAGGTAATACGCTGTACACCCGAATCACTAGTGCTCTATATCTCTAACAACAACCGTGTATTGTCTCAGCTCTTTTAAATATTATAACCACATATTCTCCAATGCCTCTTTTAATTTTTTTTTTTCTTGATACAATACTTAGATAAGTTTGACAATTTTTTTTCCTCATCAATTTATACAATTCAAGAGTACGGAATCTTAATTCATCATCAAGAAAAAAAAAAAAAATTCAACTTACACAAACGCCATATTACAGAGAATGCAATGAATATAAAATAATAATAATAATCATAATTCAAATATATACAAAGAGAAACATATATCACACACATCCATTGCCTCTTGCCGAGAAGAGAGAACGAGGCAGGAGGGCGTGCGTATGGAAAATAAGACAGAGAGAAAGAGAAATGAAAATATAAAAACATATAACAGTCTTTCCAATGTTTCGTGGCCCCCCTCGTACAGCTGACTCCAAATAACAAATGGTTTAAGTTAAAATCATAAATTGTTTTTACCTTTTTTGTTTTATCTTCATGCGATTGTACAAAAGCTTAGGTAATATTAAAAAAAAAAAAAAAAATCAAGCGAAATAACTACAGCGAATACGAAATATATATAAATACATAGAAAGGGAACTGATTTGAATCCTGTTTGAAATGAGATTATTTTTTTTTTGTTCTAATTCAAAAACGAGAACCGTACTGACAGCAAGTTTTATATATTTCTAATCGTTACACTAAACAAAACAATTTATATTCCAATTCTAAACTGGATTGTCGAGAAAGGGTCTTTGAAGGAATACAAGTTGATGAAACTTTGATGAATGGTTCGGACTTCGGGCGGGCTGTAGCGAAAAAACCGCCCACTAGTTGTACGAAATTGCCTGGGCCACGCCGTTGACAGTTTTAGACTTGAGGACGTCATTCTCATACTGCATCACAGTCTCTTTTCCATTCTCCATGACCCTGAAACAACACGAGAAAGTAATGAATAATTTCTTTAAAACTTTTGTAGGCCTCTTCAATTCATGAGTTGTTACAACATATGAAAATGTTACATTATAAGTTCACCTTTGAGAGAACTGTCACATCACAATCCTTCTTTTCCCTAACATATTCGCATTATTTATGATATTTAGAAAACATTTTTATTCAAATTAATTATATATTATCAAGAAAGTCTAATCAACATACACACAATTGGCAAGCTTCAAATTTTTTTAATGAATTTGTTAAATTAACAATTTACTTAATAAAACACAGCTATGTATAGCTGATATCAGGTATAATATACTTATTAAGATATAAATATTCGGTGAAGAAAGGTTATCTAACATACTGATAGTGAAAGCTAGACATGGATAAGAATTTCAATATTAAGATATCTCCACTAAACTAAAGTGTTCCTTTTAATTAAAAATATTTTTAAAAAATCTATAATTAGGTCAAAAAATTTAACAGTGTAAACGGACTGTTATAAATTGAAAAGGCTTTATTTACTTGTTTTTTTATATTACAACAGGTTTAGTAGGCAGATGCTTATCATATGTTCATTGACGCATGATACAAGAACCGATGTTAAATGACAGCAGGCAAGTGGTGTTAATCATTGATGACTAGGAACTGGTCGTGAGCGAGGCTCAACTAAATTGCAAGACAGTATTTTTTGTGCCCGAAATAATGACACAGTGAAGACTGACCTACAGCAGAAATAATTGTATAAATAAATTGCCTGCATTCATCACCTACCAAACAAATTACATTAAAGTTCGGTGGCTCAATTTAAGACGATTGGATTACAAACTACAAGCAGTTATGTTTTTGTCTCATTTTCAAACAGTGTATTCAATTACAGCTGTAAAGTTACACACATAATGTTTTGCTATGTATTCTAAAGACCACATGTGAAGTTTACTTAATTATTTTAAATGTATAAATAAATATCATAATTGTTCACACCTGGCGGTTGGGTACCTGAGCGAGGGTAACGACCCACGAGCCCAACCTTTTGTAAGTGGTAATAAAAACCCTTAAGAACTACAGACCAAGACCGACAACAGTCTCACGCCTGAGTGTTTAAACAGGATCCAAAGAAACATTAACATCTTCCAGAAATACCTAAAATATACCTGGTTAGTGGAATACCTTGGCCTGGGGGAGAGGGCGTGGTCATCCCTTAAGCTAGGAATATTCAGCCAATCAGGAAAGAGTACAAAAAGAGAGGGGGTGACTGGAAGCGAGGACGGTTAGAGTTTTGAGGAAGACACTTGATCAGGAGAGGTGGAGAGAGCAAGAAGAGGACTGATAGCTGGGACTCAGGCTAGGACACTTCAAGTTGGGAGTTCAAGTGGGGGAGTCGAAGGAGGACGGATGAAGACAGCCGGAGGGAGCAAGATGAAGACTTGAAGACCAGATCGACGGAGCTTCCAGAGAGGTAGCCAGAACAGCTAGAGATACCGACAACACCCCTCACCAGCTAAGTAATAACCCTCATTTAGTTATACAGATGTAAACTTGTGTTGGTAACCATGAATCATTAATTAACAGAATCAATAGAACACATGTAACTTTAATCAAACATCAAGCATTCTCTTCCAGTATGATTCTCTACCATTCATTATGTATATAGGTAGTTTGTTCATTATTTTGTATATATGGTTTGGTTTTATTTAAGCTTGTAAATATAATATTTAGTAAGCCATCTTGTTAATTTGACAAACCCCCTTGCATGCCACCTATTAGAAATAGAAACAAATAGTAAATTAAAAATACCTCTAGAAAAGAAATCCAATAAAAATTATATGATGCAATCTAGGATACTACAGTAGGGGGTCTGTAGTATCTAACATTTCAATACAAATATAAGTATTAAATACATTTTGTTACAAATAAATGCGGTTCCTGGAACCCCTTACTCGCCGTAGAAACGCGAGGCCAGGAACATAGCAGTTTAATACTTAGTGGTATCAGCTTTAAATGTTCTTCAAGTTTTAGAGTAATAATATCTTGGCAAAATAGATTGTTAATTGCAAAATTTGAGGCCGATAAAAATTAAAAAAATATCCTGATGCAGAGAGACCAGTAAAGTAGCCACTGCATACAAGTCCATAATCTAAAAGTTATAACATAATACAAATGATAAACTCACTTCTTCGTCGTGATTTTCTTCCCGTTTATGAACCTCGTCGAGGTAGAGGTGCGTTTGGTCACAGGAGTGGCGCTGTTGCCAAATGAACTGGAGAAGGAGGTGAAGCTGACAGCGTTGCCATCCATGTTGGACAACATGTCGTCGAAGCCGAAGCCAAACCCTCCCATCGGGCTGAATATCGACGACAGGGTGTCCTGGTGGCCTCCCGTCCTGTGGCCCCGCCTTCCACCTGTCGCAACAACAAGAATAAAAGAATCTATTTAATAAAATAGAATAAGAAAAAAAAAGTAATCTTATGCTTGAAAATTACTACAAATCAGGTACATTCTTGAAAGATATTATTTTTGGAAAATGCATCAAGAGAGACATATTCTAGGTTTATTAAAAAAAAATCATTAAGGACATTTTTGATAGAGCTAAACTTTCAAATAGGTTCTTGCAAATTTCTACCATATTTATTGATAATAAAACACACAAAGTGCATAGACACAAAAACAATAAATTAAATATAGTAACATTAAATGTGTAATGTTCACATTTTACATAGGAAAGATTCATCAATATAGTTAGCAATTCAATTTTGTGAAATGTAGCTAACTAGTGATTAGGAGGTTAAAATCAAGCAGGTGAATGAGTTTATATAATAATACTTTATTTATTCTGGGACAAGCCCCTTTAGAATAATACATAAGGTCAGTAATGTGGGCTAAGGAGCCTCAGAGATACATGAAAAGAAATGTTAAGTAATGAAATAGTCATATTAAAAATTATATGTTACTTTCTAACTTAAATAAGTTAATAATAAAAAATTGAAAATAAAGTAAAAATAATGAAGAACAATCTAATAATTTACATACATATTTACAGCGGTATCTATTTACAATTTTATGGGGATTGAATGGATATAACAGTCAGATAATGAACGATCTGTCGAAAGCAGCGGTTCGGTGGGCCCTTATGTATAAATCAGAAGACCGGGAATGAGTATTGTGGGAGCGAACACAGGATTTGAATTGAAGGAGCTCGGAGATGTATGAAGAACGGTGAGATTGGATGACTTGAAAGAGGAAGGATGCCAGGAAATACTTAGGCAGTTGGAAGGATAAAGCCACTTCAACTCTGCATAAAACTGGGAAACAGAGGCGTCCCTCTATATCTAGGAGATGTTTAAATCAAATTAAATGTACAAGGCTGGATAGATAGGGACGTTAAGGAAAGGATAAGGTCAGTAAGATGGTGCTTTGAATCCTCCTACTCTCCCCGAAAAAGGATGTTCCTAGAGAAAACAGAAGTCTCAAAATGCACAAAAATAATAATACAGTCGACTCAATAATTCAAAATCCAAGAAAGAAAGATGAAAGATGAAAAAAATATGCGAATTATTAAGAGTTTTTAGTATATTTTTGAAAATATGTATGAACCTCCATAAATTTTATATATAAATAGCCTCATGTAAAAAATATTACTAGGAAAATTTTGAATTATAAAGAGGGGAAGATGTTTAGTTCGAATTATAGAACGTTCCCTCCCTACCTCTCTTGTAATGAAAAGGATTTCAAATTATCGAGCTATAAAAATTTGAAATTTTTTCAATTTACCAAAGCTAACAGCTGAAGAGTTTGAAATGTCAAAAAATTTTTACTATCAAGAGTCGAATGTACAAATGAACGTATAAATCAAGGGCCATTCATTTAGTGAATCGAACATAAAAACTTATGAAGAAAGGAGATGTCCAGGATGGCGTAAAAAAGTTTTTCACTTAGTTTCACTTAGAACTGAAGTGATCTGGAGTTTCAGTTCTAAGTGAAACTCTTAGCTGAACACACCTCCCTGAAGAAGACCTGCAAAGTCGGGCCGAAACGCTGTCTTTTAATAAAATAGTTTTACCACTATTTAGCCTTTTTATGACTGCCACCCCGGACCATCTCCTTCCTTTATAATACAATGATCAACTATTAAATATTCAATAAAAACTTATGCATGAGATGCATTATTTAAAAAAAAATTGAGGGCAAAACGAGGCTCGAGAAAATTAATAGAGCCACATATGAGACAAAAATATAAGGAGAGAATTCAAGAAGACCTAGGAATACCAGGAAAGGGACCTTTGGATCGAGCTCAACAAGCATGTCCTCCCTCACACTACAGTGTGGTTAAGAGGCTGGATTAAGAATAGATGGCATGGCACTTAATGATTTTTTTGCAATAAACCAACGATGTGTATAATTTTTGTAAATCAGAAGAAATAAAATGTACCATATATATTCATATTATGCAGTAATCAGCTTAATTGGGACAATTGGCTATGTCTATATCATTTTGTCCCAATAAAACAGAGTAACTTAAAAAAAATATCTTTCATTATCAAAATGTAATTCAGGAGTATTAATGGTTATTATTAGTAAAAATGTTAGACGGAAGAAAAATCAAAGAACAAACATAAGTAAACAAAGAAAACATTCAAGTGTCACACGTTTACTTCCAATCTAAGGTGAGCATATTACTAAAACTCAGAACTGTTATATACAGATAGAGAAAATGATATGAATTCATAATTCTTTGACATTGTTAATATTGACGGACTGAAAATTCTTCTAAATTCCTATTAATAAGTTTTTGAATTAAAAACAAATCCACAAGATATTGCATATCAGTGACTCCTCCATTACAAAATATATTTTTACTATCTTATAAACTAGAAAATTGGCAAAACTCAGAATAAAATAAGTATTTCTGT